CCCTGTTCGTAAACCCTCTGAACATTTTCAAAGGCCCTGCAGCTTCCTGAAGTCCAATTACCAGCCCGCTGGCTTTTCTTCCCAATTTCCCTCCTTGCATCCTCTCACCCACCAGCCTGTTTCATCTCCAAAACCGAGCACTGCCGAGGCTCCGGGAAGGAGCAGATAGCCATTCACGCAGGGCTTTCTTTTGGGAACGAGCCCCCACACACTCCCCAAAGCTGTGTGGATAACTCCCCAGTGCTTACGTCTTGGTTGGACATGTCCCAGTAGGGCCTCTCTCCGAACGACATCACTTCCCACATGACGATGCCGTAGCTCCAGACATCGCTGGCCGAGGTGAACTTGCGGTAGGCGATGGCCTCCGGCGCCGTCCACCTGACGGGGATCTTCCCCCCCTACAGAAAAAGGGAGAGCAGCTGAGAAACGGCTCCCTTGGCAGAGGAGCCTGGACACGTGAGGCAGGGTTGGAGCCATCTCGCACACCCCCGGCTGCTGGTCCCTGGGGACCCCGCTGAGGAGAGGGCAGGCAGCACCCGATGGGATGAGGATGCAGGAGCCAAAAACACCTCCATGAATTTATCTTGTACCTGCACAAAAGGGCTTAGCTAAACAAAACAAAAGGGTTTATCCAAGGGTTTATCCCACTCAGGTGTCACCCCCGAGTGACACCTCCCCACTCCGGGTGACCTGCGGGACCCGGCACATCGGTGGCCTGTCCCCAGGTCCCTTCCCAGGGAGACATCAGGTGACAAGGGCTACGCAGGACTGCGCTAGTACTTGTCTCAGGTAAGGAGCCACAGGTATCCCCATCCCTTGGCCTTCAGTGGAAACAAGGTCTAACCTAAGAGCATTCTCTACGGCATCATCTGGGCTCCCACAGCTGCTGGAAGGTCCTTCCAGCCCCACTTCTGGAGTGGGAGACAAAAAGCAAAACACCTTTAAGCCCCAAAGGAGGCTTGGAAAGCACTGGAAAAGGAAAGTGCCTTTGGCAGAGAGCTCCTCATTTCTCCTAAAAGCTCAAAATCAGGCTCGGCATCTCAAGCCACCCCATCAAGCCAGGGCAGGTCCCAGGTCCTGGCAGGACAGGAACGGCCGGAGGCCATGCTGAGGGGACAGGGATGCTGTGGTGGGGTAGCACATACAGAGGGACTGCTCCCTGGGCAAGCACCGCTAAAATAACAGCAAAAAAAGCCAAGGGATGAAGGAAAACCACAGACATGCATGGTATTTACTCTGGGCAGAATTGCATTGTAAATCGTTTAGCGCAATTGTTTTCCATAGCCTTTCTGACAAAGCTTCAGCTGCTTTTGAAGGATGAATGGCAAAAAATTTTATTTGAATAACTACAAATGGAGAAATTAACTGCTAGGTTGTTTTTCCTGTCTTTCCCCCAGAGCTAGAAACCTGCTGTGGGAGGCAGAGTGATGTAATCGCAGGCACAGCATCACTTCCCAGCTGCCAGGGAGATCTATTATGGCCTAAATTAAATAAAAACACAGATGAGATAATCTCTTCTATCTCTAAAGGTGGGGAAAGGCTACTTCATGCCTCATCCCAGCAGCTACTGACGGGGTCTTTGAACGAAAAATAAGTAAGTGATGGGTATCTGCTCAAAGACCGCTGCCTGCAGGACGGGTGTGGGCAGGGAGCGGGGCAGGTCCGGGGAGGGAGGAAACATCCCATGAGCAGGGGAGGAAGAGCGAGGGGCTGCAGCCGGGCCAAAACACAAAGGCACCTCTGTGGGTCTCCCATTTTGGAGGCTGGAGCCAGCCCCAGCGCCTGGGCACAGCTCGACAGCCCAAGACACTGCTTCTGCAGGAGTCAGTGCAGCCTTGTGCTTGCAGCCAACACACACTCTTTTAATTAATTGATTAGATGAGGTCAACAGGTTGCTCATCCCCTTCTCCTCTGTTCATCCTCAACACCAATAAGGGTCTCTCACAAGCCCACTGGCAAGAGGATGGCCGTGGTGGGGAGCAGGGGTTCCCCCGGGGCAGCAAGGAGCAAGGGGAGAGTGGGGCTGCCATTACCTACAAATGAGTTAATTAAGCAGAGAAGGGTGGCTGGGGAATGGCGGAGCTCCTGTTAGGCTTGTCTCTTTAATTAATGCCTGGAACAAGTTTCCAGCACAGAAAGGCAGACCAGACCTGGAGTGCTGGGGGAAGGGGAGTTAAAACACTGTTGCTGTGCCGTCGGGAGATGCTGCCACCGCTTCCCTGTCTCTCCAGAGACTCCTCCATGCACCTTCCCTCCACGGAGGAGAGGGAAGAGCCTTATCTGTAAACCGCCGAGGGCAGAAAGGAGCTTGGGGGAGGAGGGAGGCGGAAAGGTCATAAAAGGGAGGAAGAAAAAGGAGGGGAAAGAAGATGATGGGTGGCAACCACAGCCAGGGTCTCTGGGCCACAAGCCTACATGGTGGGAACCCTCCTGAGATGCTTCCACCCATGGTAGCACCTCCAGGGCATATGTCCAGCACCTTTCTCCCAGGTTCAGCTGGCAGCAGGTGCAGGGCAGGCACAGGGGATGCTGAGCAAGACAAAATCTTGTGAGAGGTACATACCAAGGAGCTGGTGTAGGTGGGGTCAGAAGTATCGTCCTGCAGGTAGCGCGAGAGGCCAAAGTCCGACACTTTGCACACCAGGTTGCTGTTGACCAGGATGTTCCTGGCAGCCAGATCTCGGTGCACGTAATTCATCTCTGCAAGGTACTTCATCCCGGCAGCAATTCCTCTGAGCATCCCCACCAGCTGGATCACTGTGAACTGCCCATCGTTTTGCTGCAATGGGAAAGAACAGGCACTGGGGTGAGCATGAAGACCCCACCGCTGGACCAGAGCCGCTCACCCCCACCATCGGGAGGATGCTGCACCTCTCAAGAGGACTGCCCAGCTGCCTTGCCCTGCCTGATTAAAGCAGAGGTATGCCAGCACCAAAACACACGTGTTTTGGGGTTGTATGGCACACTGCAACCACCTCCCAAGCTAAGGAAATCGACTGGGATTTACAGGACAGGATGCCAACACCTTGTTCCCAAATCCCACAGCTGAACAACAGCCCACACGGCCCCACCTTGCCTTACCCGCAGGAATGAGTCCAGGGCCCCGTTCTCCATGAACTCTGTGATGATCATGACCGGTCGGCTTTTGGTCACCACCCCTTCCAGCCGAATGATGTTGGGGTGGTCGAACTGCCCCATGATGCTGGCCTCGCTCAGGAAATCCCGGCGCTGCTTCTCAGAGTAGCCGGCTTTGAGCGTTTTGATGGCCACATAGATCTCCCGCTTGCCAGGTAACTTCAGGCGTCCTTTATACACTTCTCCAAACTCCCCTGCAAGTGCAAAAGCATCCACTACCACCTCCTTCTTCACATAAAACATTGCAAAGCGTAATGGTACCTTGAGCTGTTTGGTCTCCAAACCAACTGGCTGAGAAATGCCAGCCAGTTAACGCTTCAATGATGATCTCCTCTATAAATCTACTCGCCTGTCCTCTTTAAAAGGGGCAATGTCTGCTGCTGAGGACGTGTTTGGGCTTGCAACCTTCTCCAAGGTGACAGAGCCCAGCACCAACAGAAGCAGAGGCTGGGGCCGCTCTTGCAAAACCCCGCAAGAAGGATTTGCAGAGCAAGAGCATCAACAGCTAAGGACTACCTCAAATATAATGTGTCAGCGTTGATAATCTCGGTTGCCTTTTTGAACATCACTTATCTTGGAATGGAAAATAATTGGGATGTTTTCATTGCTGCTGTCTGATTTATAATACAGAGAA